GGCAAAGGAACTAGCCCCAAAGTCACACTGTAAATGGCAAAGCTGGGACTTGAACTCAGGCAGTTGGGATCTAAAAGTCCAGTCTCTTAACCTCTGGAAAAATAGTTCTCAGCCCCCAAGGCATATTTGGCAAGTCCTGGTTGTCAGGACTGGGGGTAGGGAAGTCCTCCTGGCATCATAAGTAGAGGCTGGGGATGCTGCTAAATATCCTTCAGTGCACAGGATGGCTCCCCACAACAAAGACTTATCCGGCCCCAAATATCAGTAGTACGGAGGTTAGGAAACAACTTGCTCCATGTAAATATCACATCTCAAATGCAGACCCAGTCAAATTACTTCAAATTCCCTTTCCCCAATTACGTGAGTAAAATCAGTACTCCCGGAGAGACGAGTCTTGTTTATGTCACGGCCAAGGATATCATGGATAAAGTCCCCAACCTCACTGACAAGTAGAGCTGTGTTTAAAAACAGGCTCTATCACTGACCTGCTGGACAACTTTGAAGGAGCTACTTCATCTCTTTGGGCTCCAGTTTTCCCCATTTGCAAACTGGTGTAATCACAATCCTTTCCTTCCATAAGGATTGAATGAGATAACATTTGTCAAGCACCAGCACAGCTCCTGGCGCCTCTTTGATGCTCATTAAATAGTAGTTGTTGTTATTAGAAATCAATTAAAAGATGTTGCAGTGCTGTGGGATGGAGTGCCAGATGAGTCACATAGGTAGTGCATGCTAGGAGCAAGAGAAGGGCAAGACCAGAGACTCCAGAAGAGAGGAGGGAAGATTAGTGCTGAGCCTGAGTGGTGGACAGAAAGACATGCAGAGGACCTTGTGATGGGGAGAGTTGCCTGTGCAAGGGTAGGGGTGGGAATCTTGGAGTGTTCAAGGGAGTGTGGAGAAGAGAGATCATTTGGGGAGCAGTGGGCAATAAAAGACAAGAAGTCAGATTACATCCACATCATGGCTATGTGTTAGGAACATTAACCTATGGAAAGAGCCTGGGACCCAAACCAGTTAAACAGCTGCTGCATTCATCTAGATAGGAGTTGATGAGGCCCAGGCTAAGGAGGTGGCACAGGAACCAGAGACAGGGAGAGAATGAGATGCTCCCAGGCAGAATCGATAAGTCCTGGTGCTGGTTGGATTGGGGAGCAGTCAGAAATGACTTTGAGATTCTGGGATGATGATGGCAGATATCGCAAACAGGAAAGTTCTACATAGGGGAACATTTGGGGTGAGTTGGGGGAAAATTCTACATAGGGGATTTGGTGAGGTAGGTTTAAGTTAGGGTGAGTTTGAAGTGGTGGTGATTGTAAATGGCCCATGAAAATTGAAGATCAGAGGCCTTGAGGTTCAGACGCAGGTCGAATGCTTTTGTACAAGTATCTGGGGTGGGAGGTGCTGCTTTGAGACCTAGATCGTGGAATCCTCCCTCTCTTCTTCCTGGCTTCTGTGAACAGTAAGTGGGACACTGACTCCGTCCTCCATTGGAGCACTGAAGCATCTCCCCATTTGCCTTTAATCAGAACCATCTCACTTTTGATGCTATTAACCAATGACTCACCCCTTCCTGCCATTCACTCATTCAGGGGTTTCTACACGATACATGTTGAGAGGGGTCTTCATATGCTCTGGGTCATGTAGTAATTGAGAGGCAAGCATAGACTCTGGAGTCAGAGAAACTCCAAATTATAGCCATGGCCTTGAGCCAAGTGGCTTCACCCCTCTGAGAGGATCAGTTTTCTCATCTGTAAAATGGGAACAACACTAATCCCTCTCATGGTTGCTAAGAAGAGTGACATAAACCAGTTCATTTAACAGATTACTGTTCTAAGCACTTTGTAGAAATTAACTCATTTAAACTTCTTGATAACCCAGTGAGGTAGGCACTGTTATAAACCTCATTTTCTTATGAGAAACTGAGTCACAGAATGGTTAAGTGACTTGCCCAAAGTGACAATGTGTTGGAGGCAGAGCTGGAGTTTGGTTCTGAACCTCTGGCCTGTAAAGTACCTAGCACAGTGCCTGACTGAAAACTTATGAGAAACTGAGTCACAGAATGGTTAAGTGACTTGCCCAAAGTGACAATGTGTTGGAGGCGGAGCTGGAGTTTGGTTCTGAACCTCTGGCCTGTAAAGTACCTAGCACAGTGCCTGACTGAAACTGACAGTTCCAAAATTTGTTAGTTTCTTTGACTAAGGATCCCTGGATTAGAGTTAAAAAAGCACACTGGGCCAGCCTATGTGCTGTTTCAAGCCTGGGCCATTTCAGCCACATGGCAGCCTAGAGCTGAGGTTGGAGTTTGCTCGGGACCTCCTTGGCCTGTCCCCCGGCTACCCAGCTCCGCCTCCCTCCCCTGCCTTGGCCCTGGCCATGTCGCTGCTGCTTTGCTCGCCCCACAAGGAGCCCCCTCCAGCAGACCTTAGAACAGCAGACTATGCCCCACATTTGATTGTCAACTATGAGAAAACTTTTCGCTGAGCCCATGGGGGGATTCAAACTCCATGGCAGGCACGGCACCTCAGGAGGCAGGACATTAGAATGCAGCCTTGCCCCTGGAGACTGGGAGATGCACGGAAGGTGCTCTGCCCCAGAGCTGCTTCAAACCCACCTGGGTTCAAGGCTCTGCCACGTGGGACCTTGGAGAAGTTACTTAACCTCCTCATGCCTGAGTTTCTTCATCTGGGTGACAGGGGGAACAATAACACCTCCCCCACGAGTGGCTGGGAGGCTGCACGTAGCAGAGCCTGGCTCAGTAGATACTGGCTCTCCACTGGATAGGCGGGTCCCAGCACCCGGCCGATTGTGTGCCGGGTGCTTATTAAACTGAAATGAAAGACGTGCTCTGTGCCTTCATGGAGACCAATGAGTAGGGGATGATCCCAGTGTCAAGGAAGCAGCTTCATGAAAGCTCCTCATGATGGGGATGCACAGAACCAGCCATTATTACTTTGAGCTTTATCAATATGAATAACAGAAGCAATACAGATGTTGCTGAACCATCTTACTCTTGTGGGTTTGGCCACTGAGCTGCATCTTTTAAAAGAATTTGGAAATTTCAGAAGAAAATAAAAATCACCCACAGTCTCACCACCCACTCTGAACCCCATGGAACATTTATGGATCTCATTTATCTCATTGAGATCATGCTATACATGGGACAAAAAAGTGCCTTTTAGTCACAGTCTATCTAAGGTATTTTCCTGTGTTTTTACTGATTCATTATAACCTTTTCATGGCATTCTATTACACTGCATGAGTGTACCATAGTTAGTACAATAATTTCCCTATTCTTATTTTTCTACTCTGTAAATGACAAAGCAACAAATGTCTTTTTGGTCTGATTCGCATCCATTCTGTCAGTAAATATTTATTGAACATAGTCAATGTGCCAGGCAGAACTCCCGGCCCCGACGATGCAGCAACAAACAAAAGAAAGCCCCTTTTTTGGTCGGGCTTGCATTCTGGTTGGCAGGAAATAAACTGATTTCAGAAAAAGTAAATATTTATTGAACATAGTCAATGTGCCAGGCAGAACTCCCGGCCCCGACGATGCAGCAACAAACAAAACAAAGCCCCTTTTTTGGTCGGGCTTGCATTCTGGTTGGCAGGAAATAAACTGATTTCAGAAAAAGAGGAGACGAGTCAGGCAGAGCCAGGTTCCAGGAAGCCCTCTCGGAAGAAGTGATCAGAGCAAGGCAGGCGTTTCTGATTTTCTGAGAGCAGATATTCCTGGGTTCCTAATTCCTAGAAGTGAAATTGCTGGGTCGAAGATGTGTGACAAATGTAATGTGTGACGAATACGCTTTAAACATTTTGCCAACTCTTCTCCAGAGCTTCCAGCAGCGCTCATCTCACAGTATCTCGTTGAGCATAGCATATTACGCTTTTCAGCATTTTTTTGCTCCTTTGATTGTTGTCGCTGCATATCTTGGATGGCTAAGGAGGCTGAATTCTTATTAGCTGTTTGTACTTCCTTTTCTGTGAATTGTCTGTTCCAGTCCTTTGGACTGGTTTTTCTATCGTGTGTTAGAGGACAAGGACTGCAAAGAGTGGACTGCCTGGTATTTCAGGAGCCACGTAACTGAAAAAGTCTTTATGGAGAAAATGGGTTATAAGGAAGTCTCTACTGAAAGCTCGAAAGGATGTGGTTCTGACAAAGGGTCATTAATCCAGGCAGCATGTGTAGTAATCACTGCTGCTACTGATCGGATGCTTGCTCACGGCCAGACACTATCCACACCTTATATCTCACCATTATTCTCGTATTACCTTTAATCTCATAACCCTGCAAGGTATGAAGAATTAATCCCATTTTATAGATGGGGAAACTAACACTTTATGTTCAGAGGCATAAAGGGACTTGCCTAAATACACACCCACTAATAAATGGCATTGCTGGATTGTAATCCAGGTCCAATGTTACGCTTTTCACAGAAGACCCAGGTGGTAGGTAAAGCAGATAGAATGTATATGAACATCTATAGATATGTATACATTAAGTCGTACATATATATTAATTCCACTGGATGAGGTTTTGTGCAGATTTGCAATTGAACTTGTCCAGATGTAAGAAGCAGATAGAGAGCCCATCGCAGGGTCGTGAGGACTTGGCATCCTATCAGGCAATGAAGATGGACAGGTTAGCATCACCTCGTTGATTAGAGAGTAAAGACAGAGGCCGAGACAGAAGGAAGTTAGAGAAATCAAAGGAGGTGCCACTAATTACAGATTCGAGGCTAGAATGGAAAAACACTAAAAAGTGGTTTGATTTAGTGACAACCTGGGTGACTGGTTCAGGGAGGACTACAGAAGAGTAAAATACGGCACTTAAGACTCCACATTTAGAAGATATAATAAGCACGGCCCCCTTCCCTTCTTTCACTCCCCCAAATAGAAGGAACAGAAGCTTTGCGACCAATGGTTCTCCCTTTTACAGCAACTGGGTGCGCCTCTTTCAGTGGCTGCTTCTTTAAGCTCTGCTTTCCCATCCGCAGACCATGGCTCCTTGGCCTGAGTTGGAAAATGCCCAGCCCGACCCCAGTAAATACATCGAAGGAGCCATGAACCAGCAGCCCACCATACCAGCCAAAGGCAAAGAGACTGACACAAGTAAGTGCCACTCACCCGGCTGCAGACGGGCCCCCCACAAGGACCTGGGGAGACACAGGTCTGATTCCTCATGGCCTCTGTTGCTTGTTTGGGCAGATGACACTGGGACTCCTGTAACCAAGATTGAACTTCTGCCATCCTACTCTACTGTGACGCTGATAGAGGGGCCTGCCGAAGTGGACGACCCCTGGGACCTGCCTGCGCTTCGCGACACTGGGGTCAAGTGGTCAGGTAAAAATGAGGCCAGCTGAGGCAGGCAGGAGGGGAACTGCCTCTTGTTCACAGTGTCACCACCTTCACGTCAATCCCACCCCCCCTTATTGTTCTGATGCCCTAGGACAAGGGTCCTGGCTAGGGATGCCACCTGCAGCCTTTGAGGTTTAGAATCAGAGCACAATGTAATGATTTCGGGGACTTCTTGTTCTTTCTTCCATTCAACAAATGTGTGTCACTGGGGTTATAACCCAGACAGATGCTGTCTTGCTTCTTATAATTCATTGCCTGCGTCAGAGCACAATGTAATGATTTCGGGGACTTCTTGTTCTTTCTTCCATTCAACAAACGTGTGTCACTGGGGTTATAACCCAGACAGATGCTGTCTTGCTTCTTATAATTCATTGCCTGCTGCCCAGGTTTTAGTTGTTGCTGTAGGTGCTGTGGATATAGCAATGAACAACTAAGTCCCCTGTTCTTGGAGAGCTTCTCACCTCTCACCTAAATGTGGGCGTCAGGGAAGGCTTCCAGAGCACAGAGAGTGTACAGCCAGAACAGCTGGGGTGCAAGCAAGTGCTACATTTCTTATCCAGGTGTAGTGTGTAAGGTCTGCAGGCCAGACAGCTAGGAGGGCAAAAGAGGTAGGAGGGAAAGGAGCTGGGGGGAGGAGGTAAGAACCACTTTAAAAGTGAGTGCAGAAAACAGCAGTCAAGGACAAAGCATCCCAGTATGTATCTTCGACCCAGTACTTAGCAGGTGGCAAGTGCTCTTAACTGGCCCCCTTAGTGACACTGTGGTTTAGCCCAGCATGGAACCTGGCTTGCCTGCCTGTACCCCAGAACGGACCACGCTGAACCCCTCCTCCCAAATGCAAAGGCTTTCAAGACACTTCTCCCGGGCTTTCAACTAAATGGACCCCAGTGCTAACTGCTTGGAGGACTGCAGGAATGGATGCACCCACCTCTAAGCCCTGCAGGAATAAGAGCTTACAGCCGCCTGGCTGGGAGGGGAGGTGGGGGAGAGTTCTGAGCATATTGCCAAACTTCTTAGTGTTTCAGACGTTAAAAGCCTTTGTGACTTTTCTCCCACACCCCCTCCCCTGCAGAGAGAGACACCAAAGGGAAGATCCTTTGTGTCTTCCAAGCGATTGGGAAATTGATTTTGCTTCTGGGATTTCTCTACTTGTTCGTGTGCTCCTTGGATGTCCTCAGCAGTGCCTTCCAGCTGCTGGGAGGTACGGATGAAAGGCTCAGAGGTCTGCGGGTGGGGGCTGTTGTCATGGAATTTGGTTCACAGTAGCAAGCCAGCCAGCCTGCCCTCTCAGCTGCAGCCTCCTGGAGTGTTTTGGACTGAAAGCCACCTCAGCTCATCTTGCAAAATCTGTGACCCCTGTTTCACAGAAGAGAAAAATGGAGGCCTATGAAAGGGCTATGACGTGGCTCAGGTGGCTTAGGCCAGGAGCAAGGGGCTCCTCGTGTTTGTCCACAGGCAGGAAACTGTTTGACACACAGACTTATCTGAGGGACCCCTGCTGTCTTTGGGCCTCCACACCCGAGGGGATTACAGAATAAGAAAGAGCAGTCTCTTTGGTCAAAGCGACTAAGAAAGACAAAGCTGGGCCTCTTCTGGGGGAAGGATGGGGTCCCCAGGCTGGGGAACTCTCCATCCACCGCAGTTGCCTACACATCTCCTGGCACTGAGTGTGGCTGTGCCATGTGAGAGGAACCCAGAAGTGAGATTGCCACGGGCTCAGTCAGCTTTGTACTCTGAGTGGGTGACAGCAGTAATTGGCAGCACTCTGACTGCCTATGGGTGTAGGCATTTTCAGGGGCCTTTCCCCGAACCCTCCCATCTACAGAGGAGAGGACTCAGGCTCAGAGAGATCACTAACCAGACCTAAACTTCACAGCCCATAACTGGCATAGTGGATTCAGTCTCAGATCTGGGTGACACAAAGGCCTATGGATTTCTGTATCCCTTGGTGACTCTCTTGAGACCCATCTTTGTGACCAGGGGAGTTGGCAAGGGGGCACTCATGGGGGAGCAGACTGACTTCTTGGATGCTACTTCTGGTCCCCCTGTTCCAGGGCAGCATCAACAAGGGGCTTGCTCACCAATCTCAGACAAGACACGTCCATTCTCTGGGCCTCTGTCCTCTTTGTAAAGTGGATTCAGGAATGAATTGATGGGATTGGAGGCACACTCTCGAAAATGACTCTCCCAGCATTTAATTACAGCCTGGGCTTGGACAGGGAGTGGATAGAGATGAATGAGAAGATTCACTCCTGGAAGATAAATCTTCTTCTGAATTGGGAAAACATTCCAGAGACAGAGGAATTAGGGTATCAGGAGGTTCACTGGCACCCACTGGGCCCAGAACAGAGTTGAGATTAGGTTCATGATCAGAGAATAGAGAAGGACTTGCTGACCGAAGGAGAAGTTGAAGGACAGGAGGGTGAAGGGGCTGATGCTGCTGGGGAACAAGGTCAGAGAGGCAGAGACAGGAGGTGCATGTGGAGCCAGCAGGTCTCCTGACTCATCAGGGCAGGGCTGGGAAGAAGCACAAGGAAGCAAGATTCCATAGGCACCAGCAGGCTGGAGGCTGGGAGCCCCAACCCACATCCAGCTGGCCTTGGTGCCCACCTAACCCCCTCCTCATCTCATGGCCATTGGTTTGTTTTTCAGGAAAGGCAGCTGGGCAGTTCTTCAGCAACAACTCCATTATGTCCAACCCTGTGGCAGGGCTGGTGATCGGGGTGCTGGTGACCGTCTTAGTGCAGAGCTCCAGCACCTCCTCATCCATCATTGTCAGCATGGTGGCCTCCTCATGTGAGTCTGTGCACCCCTGAGCCCACATGCATTGCAGGCCACCTGGGGAGTCTGAACTTACTCTGAATATGTCCATTGCCTTGTCCAACTATGATGTGTCTTGCTCTCAATCCCAGTCAACTCTTCCTTGTCTTAGTCCTTTTTTCTGATAGTATGACAGAATACCACAGACCAGGTAATTTACAAAGAGATTTATCCCTGTAATGGCCATCTGCTCCCCACAACCCCACCAAAAGAGATTTATCTGGCTCACAGTTCTGGAGGCTGGGAAGTCCAAGATTGAGTGGTTGCATCTGGTGAGGGCCTTCTTGCTGCATTAGAGCATGCAGAAGGCATCACATAGTGAGGAACAGCATGGGTGAGACAGAGAGAAAAATAGGGGCCAAACTTATCCTTTTATCAAGAGCACACTCTGGTGATAACAGCATTAATCCATTCTGAGGGCAGAACCCTTGTGATCTGATCACCTCTTAAAGGTCTCACCTCTTAATACCATCACAACGGCAATTAAATTTCAACATGAGGGGCCGGCCCATGGCTCACTTGGGAGAGTGCAGTGCTGATAACACCAAGGCCCCGGGTTCGGATCCCATATAGGGATGGCCGGTTTGCTCACTGGCTGAGCGTGGTGCTGACAACACCAAGTCAAGGGTTAAGATCCCCTTACCGGTCATCTTTAAAAAAAAAAAAAAAAATTTTCAACATGAGTTTTGGAGGAGACTTCCAAACCATAGTAGTCCTGTTTCCATTTTGAAGGCTGGATCTGAAAATAGACCCCAGTGCTTGAGAACTGAGCTCTGAATTCTCTAGAACTATGCTGTCTGGTCTGGCAACCATTAGCCACATGTGGCTATTTAATTTTTTTCATCTTAATTGATTTAAATTTAAAATATAAAATTCAGTTTCTCAGTTGCATTAGCTACATTTCAAGGGCTTGATAGCCTTATGCAGCTTCCAGCTACCATATTGAACAGTATAGATATACATATTTCTATCATTACAAAAAGTTCTGTTGAACAGGCTTGGCCTCAATGCTAAAAGTAAAGACATCTAATCACATCACACACTGACTTTGGGACAACTGAGCTAGGAGAGACGGCACTCCAAACTTGCACCTGCTGATATTTGCTACACCTACATTGGGCTAAATCTCCTGAGGAGCACCAGTTTGAACTGAGTAATTTTCAGCCCAAACTAGCA